AGTGAAAAAAAAAAAAATCTGAAAAGAATTGAAAATTACGAAAAAATTAAAATAAATCCAAAAAATTCGAAACTTTTACCGAAAAATTCAAGAAAAAATGTCGGGACAATCCTCAAGCACCGGGAAAGGGGTCTCCAATTCACAAGTAATTTTTTTTATTTTCTTTTTACAATTTTAACGAATTAAACAAAAAAAAAAAAAAATCTGGCCGCCGGTCGGCATGCTAATGCGGCCGCATTCGTGTAGGCCAACCGTCGATTGCGGCCGCATTCGTATAAGCCGACCATAGATTGCGGCCACTTTCAAAGAGGCCGACATTCGATTGCGGCCTCGTTCTTATAAGCCGACCTTCGATTGCGGCCTTTGTGCTCCGGGCCGCGATTTAAGGCCAGTTTGTGCTCTTCGAGCCGCGGTTTGCGGCCGGCCCGCGGCCGATTCATTTTTTTTTTTTTTTTAATTAAAAATGCTTTTAAAGTAATTAAGAGAGTTAATAATAAATTTTTTTTCAATACTTAAATATGAATATTCATCAATAAAATTTAATAAAGAAATTAAATATTAATATTTCTAGGAATATTAAATATTAAATATTAAATATTTTGTAATAGTACTTAAATATGAATATTAAATATTGATATTTATAACTAATATATATTTAAAATTATATTAATAATTATACTAATAATGATACTAAGTATTATACTAGTATAAATTAATTTGTATTTAGGATAATTAAACATTCTATTTATGCTACTATATTATTAGTTATACTACTATATTTGGGATAATTAAATATTTTATAAATACTAATTTAGGATAACTATTAGCAAAATTATATAATAGTATAAAAATTTTAATAGTATAATAGTATAAAATTAATTTAATTATATTAAAAAAATTTATTAGCATTAAATATTAAGTTATAAATTAGAATGAATTTCTTATAAAACTTAATTTATAATATTATAAATTATTTTATTAACTTATTAACATATATGGTAAGCAGGGGTCAATCGAAGATTTTGGAGGAGACGGTGTTGATTACGGATGTTGTTTCGCTACAAGTGAGCTATTTGATAGTTGTGACGAAGCTGTTAAATAGGCAAAAAACATTGCAATAATATGGCGTTTCCAGTTGGTGATCTCGAGAAATTTAAATAACGGAGGAAAAGAGTTGAGGTGTCATCGAGGGGAACGTTACCGAGGTACTGCAGGAAAAGTAGGAAATTTCGTTAAGGCTGTTATGAGAAAATCGAAAACAAAATACACCGGCTGCCCTTTTATGATAAACGTCAAACGTGATGCAACATCCAAAAAATTTTGTATCTCGGTTCCTTTAGATGACGAGAAGGGGATGCATAATCATGCGTTTGTTGTGAATCCCGAGGGTCAGCGACAGATGAGCGGACTCAGCGATCCATCCAGAGAGATTGTCCGTGATATGAGTTCTGCTCAGGCATCACCGGCAGTAGCTCTGGCTGCAATTCAGAAGAAACACCCTGTGGACAACGCGACTATCCGACAAGTGTATAATTATAAAGCTAATTTGCGGAAAGAAAGTTTGGAGGGGAGAGATGTGGCTGGGCAGCTTCTGCATTTGGCTACGGTCAGCAAGTACATAGTTTATACTGATGTTAATCCGAACACACAGGCGTTGACACATGTGTTTATGTCGCATCCACAAGCAGCCAGTCTATTCCGGACATATTATTGGTATGTCGGTATAGATTCCACGTACAAAACCAACAGGTATGTTACTTTACTTTATAAACAGACAGTTGCTTGTGAATCTTATTTTAGTTATTATGTTTGATTGAGTAAGTTTGTTTATTGTATGTTTTATCTTCTTGTTACAGGAATCATATGCCGTTGGTGGAGATGGTTGGGATGACGCCGTGCAATAGGAACTTCTTAATTGCGTATGCAATTATAAAGGACGAGAGCGCGTCCAGCTATGACTGGGTCCTACAGCGGTTGAGACTTCTTCTAGAGCCAACTAAAAATCCTTCAGTCATTGTCACTGATAGGGAGTTGGGGTTGATTACTCCTATCCACACGAATTTCCCACATTCGGCCCACCTATTGTGCACGTGGCACATCAACAAAGATGTGGAAGACAATGTGTATAAACTGACATCAAAAAATAAGGTCTTCGCAGAGAAGTTCACGCACGGCAGGTGGAAGAAGCTCGTCCAGGCGAGCACGTTGGATGCATACGAAGCTGCCTTAGCTGATATGAATGCTACATACGCGAAATTTCCTCGTGTGCTAGAATATGTGAAGAAGACATGGTTAGGATCTAAGGAGAAATTTGTCAAAGCGTGGACGAACTCATTGTTACATTTTGGCAACACGACGACGTGTAGGGTGGAGAGTGCCCACGCTACGTTGAAGAGGTGGCTGCGCACGTCGACCGGTTCGCTCGACACGGTGTGGGAGAAGATTGACAAGGAGATTGAGTCTCAAATGACTCAAGTCAGGTATATTCTTTAATTTATACATATTTATTGTGTTATTATTGCATTCATTATATAATATGTTTGATTTATGCCTAATGTTATCTAATGTATTACTAGGGAAACGCTAGAGTCCTCGAGACATAGGATGCATACGGGTTACCATGGATTCCCATTCACGCAGTCGAGATTGCGAGTTTCGCATTATTGTTTGGATCTGTTGAATGATGAGTTTCAGAGGATGCGAGACTTGGGCGAAGATGTTTTGGATCGCTGCGGATGTGTACTGAGTTACACTCATGGGCTTCTTTGTGCCTGTCAGCTAAATGGGGCATATACTATGAGTATAGAAATTACGCCCGACATGATTCACGAGTTCTGGAGCACACTAGTGGTGAATGAGCCAGGTATAATTGTGATGTTGAGTGTGTTGTTTAATTTTTTCACGTATTCTTTCATTTATATAATTAATTATTTATAGTGTGTTGTTTAAATTTTTAAATTTTTTTAACGGACAGGTCACCAGAGTGCATCAGGAAGTGGATGGACAGATCGTGATAATTTTCGGAGGCTTGCATTAGAGGTTGAAGAGGCCGATCCTGCAACGCTGAGGTACGTTACTCAGCTCATGGACTCTACACTTCACCCCGACCAACAAGGTTACACAGAACCTCCAGTGATTGAAAATCCGAGAGGTCGGCCCAAGAAGCCTAATTCAACAAAGCGAGATCCATCCAAATGGGAGTACAGTCAAAGAGGCCGCCGTAAAAGCACTTCTTCCTATGCTCAATCGCAGTCGGAGTACATGGATACAGATCGCCGGGTTGGGCGTAAGAGCACTTCTTCGTGTGCTCCATCGGTCTGGGAGTACCGGGAAAGAGGTCGTCCAGTAGGGCGTAAGAGCACGTCTTCGTGTGCACCGACAAGCTCGTCTTCTCAACCTTCTGATGATCCGACAGGTGATTTTTATTTTTTTATTTATCTATACGATAATTAATCATGTTTGTAAATTCGATTATTTGAATTCTGACGTGAAATTATTCTAATATTAAAAAATTTGAAAAATTTGAAAAAATTTTCAAATTTTTCAAATTTTTCAAAATTTTTCAAATTTGTAAACCTTCTTCATGTTTATCTATACGCCCTTCTTTTAATATATATATCAAAAAATTTGAAAAAAAAAATCAAAAATTACGAAAAAAAATTAATATAAAACCAAAAAAATTCGAAATAAATTTATTTTATTATTTTGAAATAATACTTAAATATGAATATTCAATAATAAAATTTAATAAATATATTAAATATTAAAATTTTGTTTTTTTTTTGCCAATTTTTTGATGATCCGACATGTGATTTTTATTTGAACGATAATTAATCATGTTTGTAAATTCGATTATTTAAATTATGACGTGAAAATATTCTGATATTACAGAGACTTTCTCGACGCCCTTCTTTGAATATCGGCATTCTGACAAAATTCCCTACTTAGTGCATCCCTACGTAGAGAGCTATCTGGATGTGACACCGGATGGGAACTGCGGATTTCGGGTGGTGGCGAGTTACGTGTATAGGGATCAGAATATGTGGCGTTACGTCAGAAACAACATGGTAAATGAGATTTTAGCAAACAGACAACGATACAATCCTGTGTATTACTATGCCCTCAATGCCGCAGTCAATCGAATAAGATGGGAAGGGGGTGGTTGTGGGGAGGAGCATTGGATGGAATGTTTAGGCGACCTCTTTGTAATTGCTACATTGTTTAATGCAGTTGTCG